TAGTCATACTGTTCGGGAATTGTCAGACTTGCCCGATCAGGCTCCATATACTTACAGCTTTTACATGTTTGGTGGACTGAGGTCTGAGCTGTTCTTTTCAAGTTGCGTTTTTTTTATAACACACTTATCTTTATAACTGGCGTAATACGTATGAATCTTTTCTCAACTTAAACTCATACTTGTGCAGATTTGTGATCATGAACTGAAGTGTCAGTGTGAAGCTGGCTGGGCACCTCCAAAGTGTGATGTCTATTCAGCAGCAAGTGAGTTTACTATCTAACACAGGCTATGGATAAATGATATATGTGGCTTTAAAAGATGACCTGTCACGTCTGTATTTTGTTTTATAGGTCAGTTCATTCTGGAAGTGTTTTCTTTATGGTGGTGGCTATTTGTGTTGTGGATGTTGGCTCTTGACATCTGAACCTGAGCTATGTTCCCAAAGGAGTCAAGTGAAAGACTGAAGTAATAGACAAGGGTGGGAACTAATAGAAGGATGGAAGTAGTGAAGGAAAATACTAACAGATACAGAAAAAGGATGAATATGAAATTCCATGTAAAACATAGCCCCATTCTGATGATCTTATTACACATGTTCCCTGCCATGCTGGATACTTTATGAGATAAATACTCATAGAGAATCCAGCAGCCAATGTGTAAATAAAGTAAATAAAGGACCTTATTTTAGGCCTACCACAGTATATTAAAGGAGAACTATGGGGCTAAGGCTTTTCCCCATAGTTCTCCTTAGGGTAAAGGGAAGACACAAACTAGGGTCCTCCCGTCACCCTAGGCTCAGTATACCGCAAGCTGTAGCTCGCGGTATACTGAGACGCCGCAGTATACCGCAAGCTACTGCTCGCGGTACACTGAGATGCCGGAGCTGAAGCGGATTCCGACAATTGTGCCGGGATCCGCCCAGCTGTGTGGCTGACCTCTATCACTGTTCTGTACACGTCCTCTCCCAGCCCTCGTTCCCTTTCACTCCGTCACGTCCTAAGAACACTGCCATCAAGACCATAGGCAGCTTCTTCACCAGTCCCCGGGCACATACAGCATCCAGTCCACATTGATTCCTCCTTCATCCATCCCTCCACCTGCTGGGAGACACCAAATACATCTCGCACTGCCCACACTCCAAAAGGGCCCTCCAAAACAGGACCTCGGCTCCACAAGTAAGTCCTTCACCTTTTGTGATTTGATTAATTTTTGTTTTTCCACCCGTCACACACAGACACTGGCTGTCCCTATACCCCCCACATTCCCAGGATTTGTGCTCTAATTTTCCCCCTTCTTTCCTAGTTCACAGGTTTCTCCCCCTGTTCTTAGAGCAGCAATCCAGATCATTTGCACCTACACAGACCCCACATTTCTAAGAGAGCGCTGTGTTCTTTTTCTGTTTGTTGACAGCTGGCTCTGCATACCTAGAGGCAGAGCCAGCTGTACCCGCCCCCTCCCCCATCCATTCCACCAGTCAGCGCTGGCGGATCGGAGCGGGGAGGGGGGAATCCAGCCCCTCCCCTGTCACGGCAGAGAGCCGTGACAGGATCGAGAAGTGAGCGAACGCCGGTATGTGTTCGCTCACCTCCTGATCTACTGAGCCGACCTGTGACAGTCTCATTGTCACAGGTCGGCTAGAACTATGAGGTGAGGGAAAAGCACTCACCTCATAGTTCTCCTTTAAGAGAAAATAATGGTTTTACGCCCTGGAGTTCTGTTTTAAACTAGAGTTATATGCTATACAGTTAAGAGTATGATTCATTGTAAATTTAAATTAGGGATGCACCAATATCAATCCCAATATCGGTGCCAATATCGAGTATTTGGACGAGTATTCATACTCGCCCAAATACTCCTTTACTTACCTCCGATACCGGAACTTCCTGTCAGAGGAATATCTCCCTCTGACCGGCAGTGGTGAGGGAGCATGGAGCCAGCTTCCTTTTCAATCAGGAAGCTGGGCGGTGGGTTATGACCCGCCTCCCGGCTTCTTGATTGGCTGGGAAGCCAGCTTCACTTGTTGCTAGGCAGCCTGGCTTCCTAAACAACCTTGAAGCCGGAGGGCACGTAATGACCGCCTCCCGACTTCCTGTGTTGTCAGGAAGCCAGGCTTCCTAGGAACAAATTAAGCTGGTTTCCTAGCCAATTAGGGAGCCAGGAGGCAGATCATGACGTGGTGCCTGGCTTCCTGATTGGCTAGGAAGCCAGCTGCACTTGTTGGTAGGCAGCCTGGCTTCATAACCAATCAGGAATCCTGGGCGGCACGTCATGACTCTCATCCCGGCAACCCGATTGGCCAGGCAGCCTTGGCAAGTGTAGCCGGTGTTCTTTCGCTAGGACACCAGCTTCACAGTCAATCAGGAAGCTGGGCGATTTCTGGATAATCGGTACATACGGTAAAACAATATCGGTACTCGTACTCGATACCAAAAAAACAGTATCGGTGCATCCCTAATTTCAATACTGGTTAACAGAAATGTTTTATTTTTATGCGTAGATTAGCAATGTATTGAATTCCTACATTTTATGTATGGGTAGCTTTTTTGATGAGGTGCCTTTTGTATGTTCAAGAGTGTTTTCATTTTAAAACCCCAATAAACAAAACTTCTCGCTGGTTACATTAGTCTGTGAACACAAAAGTTTTTCAATAAATTCAAATTTATAAATGACAACAGCATTGGAACTTTTCTTTTATCTTGTTGGCCAGAAGAGTTGACTTGGGCCAGATATGAACAAAGATATGAATTAATGGCTGTAGAGTTTACCACAAATGGGTCCAATTGTAGCTGCAACTCTTGGAGCATAGCTTCCATCTCCACTGGGAATACTATTTAAGCTGGCCCAACTCCCAGGATCATTGCTGAGTGGTCTTTCAGCTTGACTGTATGTTCCTGTATCTTGCCTGTTGCCGTATCATCATCGACCGAATTCCTTGACCTTGCCTGACTGCCGCCTGCCTCCGACTTCTGCTTGTCCCTGGATTCTCCTTTGCCTGCTCCTTTCGTACCTTGCCGCCCGATTGTTGCTGACCCTGGCTTGCCTGACTCCGCTCTGCTCCAGCCGCATCAGCACCTGCTTCCTGCCTCACTGAAGACGGGCCTCAAGGACCTGCCCAGGCCCAGTGTCCTGCATCGTCCGGCACCGGTGCTGCCCATGGGTTTCCCCACCTCCTGTCTCCACATTCAGGGGTGTGGAACTCGTGCTGCAAAGGCCTCCTCACAACTCGGCTCCCCACCAGGTACGTGATAGGCACATAAAGACAAGCAAAATTCCCCAGGAGCATTGAGGTACGAGACCATCGAGGAGGAAATTAAGAATACCCCTAATCATCATTTTTTAGGACACAATCAAAGCTACCCCACTCGAAAGAAAGGTCCCCCCAGACAGCAAGGGAATTTTGCGGCTCATCAGTGGGAGGGTCCTACCCAGGGAGATATGAGGGGCCACTTCAACAGCCAGGGAAATTACAGAATGCAGGGCAGGAGAGGGAGATGGAAACCGGCAGGAGGGAGGGTTATAAGTTCTGTCACACTCACCACTGATGAAGAACGGGTCTTGAATTTGGGCTTGAAATATGCACCTATTAGTAACGTAAACAAATTTGAAACATTTATAGACATCCAAAAATACATCAGGAAATTGAACATCAAAAAGTACTATGCGTCCTTACCTATCATACCCAAGACTACAAACCCTCCCATGAAGTATATCCAAACCCCTCTAAAAAATCAATCAACTTTTAACCCTAAGGTAACAGGGAACCACTTTATTGAAGTTTTTAAAAACCTTGTGGAAGAGGATATAAAATCCTTAAGGTTTAACAATACCCGGAATAAAACTTTCCTTAACAAAGGTCTGGAGGAATTAGAAAAGAGGAAATAAATAGTGATTAGACCCGCAGACAAAGGGGGAGGAGTCGTGATTATGGACAAACAATATTATGTAAATGAGATGAATAACATACTCAATACTCCTGATACCTATCTTGGTATGGAAAGACAAACCTGCAATTCCCCTGAGGACGTCGGTGGTGACGAAACGCGTAGGGGCAGGTCTACAATACCAAACACGTTTGTTTTCGGACCGGGCCGAATGTGATTTTTGAATTATAAAGACATTTTAAATAAACTATTTTTGGAACTATTACCCGATGAAAGAGTTTTTCTTTGCATGACTGTGGGAATACTTTACACTGAGTACTGATGCTAAACCACGAGATACGAAAGACGCCGCAGTAACGGTGTCCCATCAGACAAAGCGTTTGGGGCTGTCTGTTACAGCCGAAAGTTTGGGATGAGTACGCACTCTATTAGGGGGATGTATTGATCTTAATACAAACCCCAGGAAAGCACTACTCCACCGAACATTGGAAGGCTCTGCTACTTGGCTTTGAAGCGGAGCTGTTTATTACAGAGACTTTATCTGTTTATATATATTTTTTGTCAGCACAATTAATTGTCATTCACAATTATTTTCGTTTGTACTTCTGTTTACACACCTGAATTTTTTCACTGATATGATTCTCACCTAATGTTATCCATGCACATGAAGGTGTAAAAAAGTGAAGGACTTTTAATGTGTGTAGATTGATCCACTTTATTTTTACACACTGAGACACCCAGAAGCACTTGGTAAAAGTCACCTCCTAATCGTACACAGGTTCATTTACTATTACAGTGCCGTGTTTTTTTTATTGATTAACGGGCACTTGCATTCATGTAGTTTTCTTATGATTTGTAGTTCACAAACACGATTATATGGTTACTAGCACCTACTAGCGCTGTTAATTTGGTTTAAACATAGTTCTCCTTTAAGCAGCGGATTATAAATAGCCCCCGAAAATCAACTCGAAGACTGTCTCCGCAAGTTTGTGTATCATGAACGACGCGCCGGCAAGTGCTGAAATCTCTGAACCTCAAACCGCACCGAATAAACATGTGTACAGGAACTGAAAGAGCCCAAAAAAAGCTAAATGCGTAAATTACTGTACGTGGTTGCTGAACATGATTGCTGACGGCCATTTGGACCCATTGCTGTACTTCATGAAGCTTGGTTTCATTTATCTGGTCAGGTAGATTCCCAGAATACGAGGTGCTGGTCTGCTAGAAATCCCCACTTGAGTCCTGAAACAACACTTCACGACCAGAAAATTGGCGTTTGGTGCGCTATGTCAGTAACACTAATAGTGGACCCAATTTTTTTCAAATCAACTGTGAATAGCGCGGTTTACCTGGACATGTTTGAACAATTTTACGATCAACTAACACCAGAAGAAAAAATGTATTGCTTTTTCCAACAAGATGGGGCAACATGCCATACCTCACGCGACTCACTGGCACGGGTTCATGAACTGTTTATGGAGGCGCGAACTGTGAGCAAGGGGTTATGGCCACCGCGTCCCCCGGACTTGTCCACATGCGATTT